AGTTAACGAAATTATTTCAAAATACCACATCTCTCCTGAAGATGTTTTTACGAAGCTCTCCAACCTCAAACGCACTAAAGCCTCGGGTCCTGACAACTTACCAAGTTGGGTCTTAAACGAGTTTGCCATGGAACTCTCATCACCCGTTACTGAAATTTTTAACGCGTCAATCCAAGAGAGAGTCGTACCCGTTTCATGGACAGTAGCAGATGTAATACCTATTCGTAAAACAAAAAATGATCTACGCCCAATATCTCTGACACCAATTCTCTCAAAAACCTTGGAACATTTTGTCGCAGAGTGGATTATGTCACAGATCAGACACCTCGTTGGCAGGAAACAATTCGGATCACTCGCCGGCTTATCTACAACTCACGCTCTTCTATCGTTTTTTCATCATCTGTATGGAACTACCGACCAATCTGACCAATGCGTGCGTGTGCTGCTTCTGGATTTTAGTAAAGCCTTCGACAGGATTGATCACCATATTCTTATCAAGAAGATGGAGGAAATGGCCATCGATCCCGTTCTTATCGCATGGGTAAAACAGTTTCTTACTGGCAGGAAACAGCGAGTGAAGATAGGTAAATACACCTCAAGTTTAGAACCAGTGAACGGTGGGGTTCCACAAGGCACTGTCTTCGGCCCGATTCTATTTATGATTATGATAAACGAGTTGTTGGTTGATTGGGATGATAGATGGAAATATGTTGACGACTCGTCTGTTCCAGAAACCCTTTCTAGAAATCAAGATTCCGACTTTCAAACTATTTTAGAAGGAATTACGCAGTGGTGTTGTTTTTGGAAAAACAATCCAAATTTCCCTCCAATGATCGTTGACGAACAGCCCATTGAAGTTGTGAAATCCGCTAAACTCCTTGGCTTAATTTTCAAGGACGACCTAAAGTGGAATGACCACGTGGCTTACATAGTGAAAAATCCGCAAAACGCCTTTACATGCTTAGACTCCTCAAGCGAGCTCGTTGTGACACTAAAACATTGATATTAGTGTATTTTTCATGTGTAAGACCCATCTTGGAGTATTGCGCCCAAGTTTGGCATTATAACATACCTGAATACCTATCCAAAGAAATAGAAAGGATCCAGTGAAGAGCGTTGAAAATAATTAACCCATCGTCATCATACAAAGAATCCTTATCAGATCTCAATATCCCAACATTGTATTCTAGGCGCGAACTGTTATGTTAAAAAATTTTTAGAAAAAAGGTTCTTCTGCAAACTAGTCCTCTTTCCGAACTAGTTGAACCAGCCGAACATCCAAGCTACAATCTACGCACATCGAATAAACTCGTTCCAATTAATTGTCGGACAAATCGCTTCAAAAATTCGTACATTCCCTCGTCTGTAACTATGTTGGAACGTCTTTTAATTGATTTGTAATGTAATCAATAGTTAATAGAGTTCAATTAGTGGATACTAGATCCTGAACGAGGAACGACTCCCACGAACTCACGTCGCGAAAATTATCATAATACTGGCAGTTGACAGTCCCACCACCTGGTCCAACTGGATAAGTCACACCTCTCCCATCCATCCGAATGTAGCAATTACGGAATTGGACACTTCGAAAAGACATGCTACCATTTTGTACATCTTGAACCACGAACGACTCGTACGCACTTACACTAGCTTGGCAGTTAACCACTCCGCCTCCCGGACCTTGGCTGGAATTCATACCAGCGCCATCTAAACGGATGTATACATTTCTAAACTCAGCATTTTCCAACGCTACAGTGTGGACAAACTCTTGCGCAGATGAGGGTCTCATTTCCACTGGTATTATGTAATAGCTTTCCCAACGCGATGGAGGTGTGTACTGGCAGTTACCGGTACCTGCGCATGCTGCTCCTGCTGCTTGTGGCTCCACGACTCCCCTACCATCACAGCGAATGTAGACGTTAGGAAATTGCACAGACATCAAGGATTTTGGATCAAGACAGTTCATACGTTGTAGAAAACGAGTAATCATCTGAACGGTAAAACGCGGAGCAGAGTTGGTACCGTCTCGCATTGCACCATAGCCGTGAACACCAAGTACCGTCCAATAACCGTTATACCAAGTGTACGCGGGGCTACCACTTTCACCACCGACCGTGTCGGTCTCGTAAAAAATCTTATTTGCTGTAAATCTGCAGATTTTTCGTCCAGTTATCCACATCGTTCTGTCTGGCTTGTCAGCTGGATATCCACAGACTGTAACTACCCGATTGTTGAGATCACTATCTGCGAGGATAGTTGACCAGCCAAACCCTTCGTCACAATTACCAGGCCCAGGCAGGAGTATAAGACCGTAGTCATGATCCTCACTTCCATTCTGGGTAAATTCCGGTGGTGCGTACAAGTCCTCGGGTCCAATTTCGATCCGATCTTCTCCTGGGAACGTCACAGTGATCGATCGGGCATAGGACTTGCTAGACTGCTAGTGTACGTGCAATGACCGCTGGTCACAACTACGGACCGATTGACGTAGGGGATGTGAATTTTGAAACCACTTGCAACATGCCAACCACCGTCAACATATCCTCTATTTTCAAATGGCAAATCCACTTGTATGGAGGCGAAGTCATTGGATTCACTCTCACCCGTTCGTCGGTCCCAATGATGGACTGTGGCTTATCTCGTCGTTCCATCTTATGTACAACACTTCTTCATTTATTCACTATCAGGCTTGTGACTATGGCTGATATAACACTCTGCTTGTCTTGATTCTAACGCTGACTTAAATAGTTACGCTCTTGCTACGTCTTTGGAAAATGAGACGTGACCAATTTCCTTAACACCCTCGCAGAGATCATCGGGGTCACAAAATACGTGACACTCCACGGGTGCAGGGGTAATTGAACAAGTTTTGTGCAATAAATGTTCATGAATCAATGCTCTCAATAATTTGGGATTATTTGTCGTTTAAGCTCAACGTCTTTCGAACAACCGCCCCTGGATAACAGAGTAATCATAGACTATTTGGTATAATTCTTCAAATTTACAAATTCTTGTTAATACGTTTATACATCAACTTACACGAAGGATAATTATAACTTCTGTACACAAAATCGACGAGTGCCGAGATAGAAAGAAATTTTTGGGTATACGTACTCAACTGCGAGTGGTGGTGATATTCATTATTGCCTATAGCATCACGTACTTTTTATCAGGAGGTAATACAAACAAAGTGCCACATGCAGGGGGTTGAGTGTGTGCAAAAATAGCCAAAAAGCGCCACGCATTCTATAACGACGACAAACACAAAGTAAAGGTCAGACATTAAGATTGACATAAGGGAAAAATAGAGGGAGGAGAGAACGTTGCTTTAACTCCAAAAATGACGGCAATGTCGCTAAGAACACCAAGAGAGTATAAGTGAACAACGCAGTAGAGTTAAACGAACGTTATTTGAAAATCTATAAAAATATGATTATATGAGATCTGGTAGTTTGAGACGAATTTTATAATCGCTTGATTGTTATGTAGTGCTAGGTAAGAACAGAACTTGGGCTGCTGTAATTTACGCCAGTAAATCCCCAAATCACGCGTAGAACATATAATAAATGGCAATATGGTATAGTTTTGCACGTATCATATAGTAATTTAGACGTTTGACGTCGAAGAGGTAGACAAACCACAAGGGGTTATAGTATATATCAACCTGCTGTGAATCACTCATGTGTCGACGCTCAAGCTTGTCATGAGAGTGAGGCAGTCAGCAGAAACATGAAACATTTCATCGGAAACCACGAGGCTCGTATGAGAAGATTAGCTACACGTTTTATAATTTGTGAATTTATATGAAGGTATGTGAATTTATGCGAAATACAGACCTCAATGCCCAGGTAAAAAGTCTCCTGATAAATTCAATGATAGGTCGAATTGGAGCGGGGCAAATACTCACGACAAACTTCGAACTTTTTTGAAAAAGTTAAGAATACATTCATTGACTTGATTTCTCTCCTGTTCCTCCATTTGGCGTCGTTTTGCTAGAATTACATGTGCAGACTAATGCTAGAGCCAAAGGCAAATGTTACTTTAAACCGAGTATATTTTTGAGAACGAATAGCGTTTAATTTTGCACTTTTCTCGTACTTCCGTTAATGTGCTCCAAAATTAAGTTATCGATGATTTTTTACAATCCTCCTAAATTTTCCTCTTACAAAAACGAAGAAAAACACGCTTTGGCTAACATTATATATAACATTGATATGATGAGACTGCATGGCATGTTGACATTGTCCCTTATCAATTACATGGTCCGGAATTGAGCCCCAGACCCCCTTCTTCGAAACGTCAATATACGGACATCAATTTTGAGACATTTAGCTTGACGTTTAGTTCAAACATTCAACCGGTTAAGATAGTAGTTTCAATTTGCTTGTGTAAACACTACATACACATCAATGTATCTCTTGTTTAGGTGCAAGTTTGTGGAAGTGAATGTATAAGTTGCAATTGCTGTTGTATTATACGGAGTTTTTCATGCCGAAATATGTTCATGCATACAACTTACGAAAATCTTCATTAACTGATGTGAAAGAACTTAGCTTACTCACTACTGACTCACGTTTTACCGAACTTATAAATTTCGTCTCGAAGTTTGAAGTTTATATTTGGCGTTTAAATTTCATGCTTGAATGGTCGAATGCACTCCTTGGCGTACAATATACTTGAGGAGTCTATGAGAAAGCATAATACATACATGAAACTGATGATATATATGGAATTAGAAAGACATTGTTGAAGAGTTCTTCTTAACATTTCCCCCTAAATGCCAAGCTAAATGTCTTTATATTGACGTTTGAAAAGGGGGGACTGTGACCGTATTCACGAGCAACCTTTCTAAAATATGCACTTGATAATGAGCCGATGACATGCAACATGCCACTCTCTTGATATATCAATGTTAATGCTAGCCAAAGCGTGTTTTTCTTTCGGACTTTTTACCAGGATTGTAGAGGGTAGGTTTTGGAGCATTTAAAAGCAAATACGAGGCAAGTGCAAAGTCAAACGCTACTCGGTCTACTGATCACGCACATACACTCGGTTTAAGTTAATACTTTTGTGAATGTTTAATTCCATTCGGCGATACATTATTAAGGTTGGTGCACGAGTAAAATGGGAGTAATTTTACTGATGGGAATAGAATTTAACAAATAACTTGCCTAAGTAATTGGGTGATATTCATTATTGTCTATAGCATCACGTACTTTTTATCAGGAGGTAATACAAACAAAGTGCCACATGCAGGGGGTTGAGTGTGTGCAAAAATAGCCAAAAAGCGCCACGCATTCTATAACGACGACAAACACAAAGTAAAGGTCAGACATTAAGATTGACATAAGGGAAAAATAGAGGGAGGAGAGAACGTTGCTTTAACTCCAAAAATGACGGCAATGTCGCTAAGAACACCAAGAGAGTATAAGTGAACAACGCAGTAGAGTTAAACGAACGTTATTTGAAAATCTATAAAAATATGATTATATGAGATCTGGTAGTTTGAGACGAATTTTATAATCGCTTGATTGTTATGTAGTGCTAGGTAAGAACAGAGCTTGGGCTGCTGTAATTTACGCCAGTAAATCCCCAAATCACGCGTATAACATATAATAAATGGCAAATGTAACGCTCACATTCACGAGAGGCCTCTTCCAGTATAGTTTTGCACGTATCATATAGTAATTTAAACGTTTGACGTCGAAGAGGTAGACAAACTACAAGGGGTTATAGTATATATCAACCTGTTGTGAATTCCTCAATTAATAAATGCGTCGACGCTCAAACTTGTCATGAGAGTGAGAGTGAGGCAGTCAGCAAAAACATGAAACATCTTAATGTCTGACAATCTTAAAGATGCGGTAAAGTCCGTTCTGCGCATATATTCTGCGCATCAAAACATTCCATCAGTGGGGGAGCAACAACACCGCGGAAAAACGTCTGCGCATGCACCAAATTATGAAAATATGGTGGGGAATTTGAATATCAATTTCTAAAACAAAAACATGCTTATTAATTGGTCAAAAATTAGTAAAACAAACGAGAAAATATAGCAAATGGGTAGACTAGACATGAATTGAAAGCGTCCTGCCATTTAAAGTATGGAATGAAATATAATTCATGTCAAAATTGTTGATTTTAACGGACACGATTGTCATATCTTAACGGGAATTTGAGGTATATTTCAACCGCGATAACTGCATTGAAAAGCCCTGGCAAATAGCACCTTACATTGGCATAAAATTACATTACTACATGCCCAGATAACAGAGAAAATTAAGCATGAAAGTCAGTGCAGTTCTAATTTGCGTTCGCGTAAAAATAGGCCGTACGGCAATTGTCATATCTTAACGGGAATTTGAGGTATATTTAAAC